ATTTGCTTGAATTCTAGGTCTGATTTTTCTTTGTTTCTGATTTGCATGAAATTACGGCTCGTCTGTTATAAAATTTTGAAAAATTTAGAATCACAAATTTGCAAAAGGCATTGGAAACTAGCAAAATAGACATGGAGTCTGAAAAAGAGTATCATAATGTCCTCAGGAAACATTATGACCAGCTGAAGAACAAATTCGAAACGTAAGTCTTGTTTTTTTCTTGAACTGTTACTTTCAGTGGTGCCGAGATTAGTTAGTCATTCCATAAATATTTGAAAAGTTAATGCATGAATTTGGCCGTCGCTTGTTTTAATTGCCCTTTACCTGTTAAGTTTTGTTTTATTCGTTTTTGCTTTTTTAGTGTATTTAAGCGAGTATGCAATTTAGGCTAGTACTGACATGATATCTTATAAAGCAGTTTCTATGAATTTTAACTTCTTACGTCGAATGCTTAAAGACTTTCAACTTTTTTAAATAAGGTTTTAAAGATAAAGAAATGGATAGATTGTATGGTCGTTTTTCCGGGGAGGGTTAGATTACATGAAATTCAGCCACAAACGTTTCTCAAATCAGTCAAATTTTAGTACTGGAATCGATAGAGAATCCCATTTTTGGCAAATCAATTTTCCAACGTTTCTGTTTCCGTATTTTATTCTGGTACGATTTTAAAAGAGGTTATGAGTTTTGGTTTCGTATTCAAATTGCTTTCATGAATAAGAAGAGTGCAGTTGACTTGCGATGGAGAAACGTATTAGATATCCATATATAGCAATGGTATGTATGCATTATTTCCGAAATTGGAATGTTAATGTTTAAATACATGATCTGCTGAGTTTATCTTCAAAACAAACGAACTGATCCTGATGAATTGAAATGACTTATGTTACTCGTTAGCTGTCTGTGGTTGCCTTCATCACTGTTGATCACGTGAATTCGATAGCATTTGATCGAAAGAAGATTAAATTTGGTTATTCGAAATGTCCTACCTCTTTACATCAGTAAAGGTCATGAAGAAATTTGCTGTGCAATAATATAAATATTAAAATAAGGGACGATTAGAAGCCCTGAAAAATATATTTTGAAGTGTTAAGAAAATACATAAGTAAGAATATAATGAAGCCCTCAGAACCCACAACGCTGTTGCTTATTCACTACAAATTAATAATGACTGAAGATGTAGTAGCTACAGATGACCATTTCTGTTTCGTTTATCTGCGCTTTTATTTTGTTCTTTTTTCATTTTTAAAGCCTTTTCGGTTTCGACGTTTTTCCGTTGCTTATTGTATATATTTTTGTTACAGTGCTTTAGTTATATACCTGCTGATGTTTTTTATCCGAAACTACGATATTTTCTCTGTAGGCTATTAGTTTCTGCTCAAGAAGGAACGTCATTGTAGGTTCCGAAAGCTTCACCTAAGAAAGAAATATTTTTTAGGCTTCTGATGGTCTCTTTTTTTACCTGTTGTCATTAGGAGCCTGTGCATATTTTTCAAATGGAAAGTTGTGACGTAATGAACTCATTTCAGTGATGACTTTCTGGATATATTTCAAAACATTTCGGATTATGTCTTAACGTATATGTAACATTCAGCATGTTTTAGAAATTCATGTAAACTAATGAACGCTGAGGAAGAATTGAATCGACTAAGAAGGTCACTGAAAGAAAAAGACGTCGAGCTGCAGGGTACGGATCTCGTTGTTTACGTCGATTAAGGGTTTTTTCAGGCCATCTGAATGCTGAGGAAGAATTAGCGGTTGCCAACAAGCAAAAGGAAGAAGATATTTCTTGCCTGGAGAAAAACGTCGAGAAGCTACGTGAGAATCTTCAAGTTCTTGAGCAGGACAAAAAGATGTTACAACAGAAGGTATGCGCTATCAGTTTATATTCAGCTGGCTGTGTTTTGTTTTAGAACGCCGATTTGGAAACGGATTCAAGCGAAAAGTCGACGTGTATCAAAGATCTCACAAACAAGTTAAAAAATATGGAGGAAAATATCGCTAAATTTAATCAGATCACGCAAGTCATCCATCAGATGACCGGTGAGGCGGTCCCTTTTAAGTAGAAAATGAAAGTGGCTCAGGAAACGGTCCGCAAGTCCAGGGATTTGCAGGTTTGAACAGATCTCTGGTTTTCATGGGAAAATTATTTTCACCTGCACATATCATTTTTCATTGAAATTCACTTCGTGTTCGCCGGAGTTGTTTCATTTGCATCATACAGTGTAACATTTATTGATTGATATAATAAGAGCAGTTCTTGCGCAGTGAATGCTCGTTGTTTATTTCAGTCGTTTCCCATATGCTGTGAATTACTGGTCTTCATGCCCACTTCTGTTGATTTATTTATATAGAGTTTTGTGGGGTTCGTGAAGCGGAGCATCTGAAGCACAAGAAAAGTCTATAGGCCCGCATTCTCGAAAAGATAGTAGACTCGAAACTGAATAAACAAACAACTTCGTTGTTGCATCTGATATAATAAATTTCTTTATGAATTTTGTTAAATGGCGCATGTTATTATCATTAAAGGTAATTTGTTTTGCTTGTCACAAAGTTGTTCTTTATTGAAACTGAAACGACGCCCTCTGTCACCGTTTAGGTATTGTATATAAAACTTTACAGCTTCCGTTGACCTAAGAGTCAGTCAGTCAAATGAGCTACGACGCGTTGCCGCCACTTAGGATGGATGCAGTGAGCGCCGTAGCATTCTTATAACTTGCATGAGTATGGTACCTCTTGGTTTCCCTCAGGCTATGGCCAAAAAATTTCACTCTTCGTAGGATCATCAATATCGATCACCAGTTGCCTCCATTTGTCAGTTTCCTCCACTTCAAACTTTAAATCTGCACTTGGTTTACTAAATTATCCGATGGCATGCCAAGTCTTGAAATGCTGTACGGGGTGTTTGAGCACATCGTTTCCATTTTGAAACACGTATGCGGGAATCATGTCTACTACCAAACTTGAAGTACCGATATCTGCATGTTTCCCCATTAACTGTGCAGTTCCGCAACAGATGTGCTTTAGTCTTTGCTGTTCACAGTATTGTCATCAATTTTCTCCGAAATTGCTGACCTTGGCAAAGACGAAGGTTTTGTTCTAGATTGAAGACGCAGTAAAGATAAAGGGTTAAATGTTTTACTGACCTGCAGTATACTGATGATATTGCTCTGAAGAGCACTATGAGCACTGGGCTGTCACCTGATGGTTGCCGTTTGCAACACAGCTGTGAATGCTGGCCTTTACCTTAATGCGCAACAATCAAAGGGCTCATGTACAGGCGGAACAAAGCGATGAAATACCTCGAGGTTGATTTAATTACATCGGGATCATCGTCCTCAACGATGGGACTCTCCACCCTGAGTTAAGGTATGAGGATCGCCTTAGCCTCGAGTGCTGTTGTAAAGCTATTCTTATTTGGGCGCAGAAATAAAGGTGCTGTTCCCGCGACACGTTGGTAAATAAAGGAGGTTAATATGCTTAAGATTTGTTGAGTTAAGCAGTAAATCAAGAGAAGAAAGAATAACTGCTCCTCAGTTACTATAGTCGTTTCTTTGCTATTTCACTCAAACATGTTCATCTGTTGTTTACAAGATAAAATAAAGGTAAGTTCTGAAGAAAGAATGAAACTTACTAAACAAATCTTAGATCTGGACGCTCATTAAATATATACATAAAAGGAAAGGTGCACGAAGAAGTGCTGATATAATGTTCATGAATTTAATCAAACCAAGAAAAAAGTGAATTTTCTTTAGCAACTAGGAAATATCGATTAAGCAAATAACTCGCATTTGAAGAAAAAATTTCTTTATTAACGACTCGCATGAGCATAAGTCTCTTTACCCTGTCACCTATGCTATTCCATATCCAGCTTACTTGATTCCAAGCCAACTTTGACCATATGTTAGTTGTGATATACATATTTAGCGAATTAGTAATAATGTCTTTATTGCGGACGAATTCACAATTTTTTAAAATGATTTTGAAAGTGGAACTTCACCCCATATTTTTAACTGTTTTGAATCTCAACATTTTCACACAGACTTGTTCAAAGCGTCGTTCATTCCTGTGTCCCTATAAATTAATGAACATCCTGACAAAGCACGAAGTTCACGTTGTAACAACGTTGCTCAATCATTGATAGTCTCCTATAGTTCATAGTTCTTGTCATATTTTTGCTGCTTATCCGCATATCTGACAATTCTGCTGAAAGCTATGTTAAAGTATGCCGAAGTATACGTGCAACGACGGAAATATTCTTTCCCACGTGGTTCAAACTAGAAGGTATCGCATTGCAGTGCCATATGTATTAACTGTGCAAGCAAAGAAGAAATCGATGCAGCGTGACATTTGTATCAACACATTTATAATTCATATAAAAACGTCGACACTGGACATATTATAGTACAGAAAAACATACTTGAGCATCGTATACGAACAACAATCGTCTCAGACTTTAGGTCGCTTCAGAGAACTGGATTCTTTCCTTCTACGACCCTTTTTCGTATCTGGCTCTCTCCTCCTCTTGTTGATCGGGTTTCGCGGGTCGTTAATATCATACGTATCTTCATTATAAACATGGACGTTTTTTGCCGGTACTAAAGCCTCTTCTTTGGCGACGAACTTGTGCAAAAGCCTGTTGAACTGCAAACTGTACAATTTTAAATTTCTCATAAAAATTCATACCAGTCTTCGCCCGGTATGTCCTCTTCGGGATCGCTATCCTGAATTTCAGAGTCTCCATCAGTGACGGCGACGCTTTCCGGCATTTCTTCTTTCATTTTCTCCAACTTTGCTTTAAAGGATTCTAGCATCTGCAGAGTCTATACACAAAACATCTGGGAAACATAATCTAAACATCTAACAGTTTGTTTACAGCAAATAAACGGTTTATTCACTATATATTTATACATGCCATATAAATTTAAGAATTCCGCGATTTTACATGCAAGAACAAAGAGGATGAGACTGTACTATTAAATAATCCGAGTTTAGCATGCCTGGGCTGGTTCAGAAGCCTATATAAGCCCAAAACCTCCAGATAAAGGCGACGATTTTGCGGTTTCACACAGAAACCGAAAATACTCGCCGATGGACGAGTCAAACGGACAGAACTAGATACTACTAGCTGATATAACATTATTATTAAGTGGAGATTTCGAATCTTGTTTTACCGTCAAGGCATGATATACAACTGTTAGGGCATACTGCGTTTAAAATCAATGCAACAGGGCTTTGACAAATGCTATTTTATTGTTTAGTTCGGTTGATATGAGGAGTGATGAGCAACAGCCAAATAACCTGTCGGCAAGTAAAAGCTTACCACATCACAGAAACAAGCGGCACAAAGAGCTTTCTGAAAAGAATTGCCTAAGCTTTTGTGCTTCGAGATTGTTCGAAATTCATCGAATCGTAGGCCCTCAAACCGAGCTCTCACTTCTTACGATGGAGAGTCCCCAACTGGAATGGTTTTGACACATTATACGGATAACTAGAAAGTGTAACTATAACTAGAAAGGATACCGAAACAACTATCGCTTGCAGGGTCCACCGACAGAAGACCCTAAGCAAATCTGTCGAAGAACTGTCAGAAGACCGCGAATGTTGTCTAGCATTGCTACTCCCTTGACCTGAAACTATAAAGGGCTCTAACACAAGAATAAAGGATTGAACTTTCAACAACACTGAATAAGAAAGACTGCACAATCAGGAAAAGCACTTGTTTCCAAGATTTTCATGATCTCAGCCTTGTAGGTAACTAAGAAATCGAAACCATGCAAATAAGCAGTATTTCAATCGTCAGGAACTTCCATACTCGACGATTACACTAGGCAGATTCAATGATTTAAGCATCATGGAGACAGACTGACCCTCTTGTAGCGATAGCTTTAGCGTATGCCCGACACTCTTAGTCTGATTCCACTCTGATGGTCATCGACGTTTGATCGAGACGCTGGTTCTGTTGATTTTACAAAAAAAGGTTTCACCTTATCACTAATCAGTGCACTTCACTACTGAGTCAAAATCGAGGATCGCAGAAAGCCACAAATTTGGACTATTACACGACCACTAATTAGAATACGGAAAAGTAAATACATAAAATGGAAAAAATATTAACTCAGCTTCTGAATGTTCTATCTGGTAGCCTAATAATCGATGCTTTAAATTATGATTCGAAAAATAAATACCTTCGACTGTCTGACAGATAGATCCTTTTCTTTCATAGCCGATTTCGCCGCATATTTGTCTCTCTGAGCGAAATATTCAGCCAACAGCGGGTTATCCCGCCTTCTGTCTGCAACAAACAAGAATCACTCTTTAGAAGCAAAAACTGATGTCGTCGATCGAATGTAGTGGTTCTGATTTTCAAATATACACAAAGCCAGATAGCCTCGTTTATGATTTAAAGCTTAATTCAAACAGGGATGTTGAGCGATGAAAAGACAAGTAACGGTGAAGCAGTAAATTGAACCATTCGTTCTCTAATTTAAGCTTCAGCTTTAAGCTCAAATGAGGATGTATTCGTTTAAAGCCATTCCTTCTATGATACTTTCCACTAAATAATTTTATTTACAATGTTGATAACTGAGTGTCTGATAACATCAGCACGGCTAACAACCTCTTCAGAAGTGTCAAACTCACTATCAGCATAGAGACCTCTAGCAAGCGCACACATGCGCTAACATGCATGCGGTACAGCAGCTGTACATAGCCTTACTAGAGTGCTAACCCAAAAATGGTGCGTATTCTTAAAAATCCCGAATACTGCAGATAACTACGGTTTAACGTTTCAACAGCAACCGTTACTTTTTCTGTTCTATTCATAAGTATTGTTTAACCGCTTTGTTTCTGTTCTTGTTCTATTTCTCATTTTGTTTCTTATGTGATATTGATAGATTCACCATGATTGTTATAAAGCGCTATTCTCATGTACTGAACTATCTTGACTGTGATGATTCTACTTAGACGCTAAGTTTTATATTTATTCTGTCATTTTATATACTGTTTTCTGCCACTTTATATTCCAACTGAAAAATATCGTTATTTGATTATTCTGTTTAAAGAGCAAAGCTTCGAGCTTGTATAGAAAACATTCTCACAACGTTGTGTGACAAAACACCCAGCTCAGAGATGATCCGTAAACAGCGAGCATATTAAGGTAGCCAGACCCACTTTTACCATAGTCTGAATGGTAAGCAACTGCAGTACACCAAACTGTCGATAAATGACGCTTTTTGCTTCCCTGGGACAGAATAAGTATTAAACTAAGTCCTCACTAATACAGTTAGTGCATTATCGCTGAAACCATTTCACCATACCTCAGGAAGTACAAAATGATGAAAATGATTATTTGACCATCTGAGAACCGACATACTGCAATGAAAAAAAGCTTCGAAATTTTGTACAGAAGTTCCGGATGAAGGAACAACTAACAGAATGTACAACGTGGATTGTGAAATCTTTCAACTATCATGCATTATTCTGAATTGGATTACAGCGAATTATGAGGTAAACAGAGAGAAAATTTAGGCAACGCTTGAAAATCACCGTTGTGCTATCTGAATTGTCAAAATATGGAAATTCACATAACTGCATCATCTAGGAGAATGGAAATGATTCGCGACACCGTCACGAATAAAACCTGTACGTATACAAGAGATAGTATTTAAACACAATAACCCCTCTTTATTA